TATATACTTGGGTGACAGTTCTTTTTCACAAGCAACCCCTGTCATATTGTTTTACTCTCTGTCTCATGCTTTCTGCATCTGGTCAAGCAAAAACACACCTCCTACATGTACCTTGTGTAATGCTGATTTGTTTTGGTTTTTATTTCAAATCTAGGTAGTAGTTCATTCTGATAGATAGCCGATTTCTTACCTGACAGAATGTGCTACCCTACTTATAACCAATGAGATGAGTATGTTAGCAAAATTGCATTAGAATTTAACAATGAAATTGGCTCTTCTTTTTTGTTTGCTTTGTTTTGTTCACATGGCAAATTTTCTTAATAAATTGTCAGGTTTGCCCGGCTGCAGCTTCCTCTCTTCCTTTTCCTCACTCTAGGTTTGCTTCCCTGATTACACTATCTAACACACCTGCCCCACTTCCCTTGATTATCACCAGCTGCACCTTATCAGTTTCCTCCCTACTTATACCCTGCTCACCGATCACTCCCCTACCAGTTCAATCTCTCTGTCTCCAGGCCCCTATGTTTGTTATTTGGTTTTCGCATGCTACTTACGCCAGTCATAGTTATCTCTTTTTTGTTATCAAGTATTACCTTCTTTGTTATGTCCCGCTGCTTCCTTCCCCTCTCTACAGACCGCTTCTCTGGACCCTGGATCTACTCAGCTCTCCCAGCCACCACCATACAGGTCGATGCACAGTCTCCTTTAACTGTTTGTTCCATGCTTCTGTCTCCACAGTCATCATCACCTCAACCCCGACCTATCCAGGCGTGACCCCAGCGTCCGCAGCCTGGTCTGTCATCATCCGCCACTCCATAGACTGCTTTTTTTTTTTTCTCCTACCGCTGATCGAAACCACTAACTACCTCTCCCCTTCTCATTGCACTGTTTCACTTGTAAATAAATATCACTGCTTGCACCGAAGCCAGCTATCTGGGTCCGTCCTTTTTTCGCTCGCTCATCTCTGTGTTCGAGCAATCATAACAGAGTACATAGTTAGCCATTACAACATGTGCTTTGTATTCTTAGCTTTGATAAAGTCCTTCCTCATTCTGGATCAACAGCCAGACAAGCTGATGAGTGCTGGTATTTAAAGAGCTGCTGGGGCCAGATAACTTTACTAATAACTAGGAGTGTAGATACTGTCTTTACAGAAAAAGGTACTGATATTTCCATTTTTAACAGGGGGAACGCATCTCAATACGACACCACTATGAGAAAAAAACTTAAACATAACGATTAGAATGTATCCACAGCTCAGTAAGGAACTACTGTACTATCCTGGGAAACAAAAGGAAATTTTTCCTAAATGGACTGTAATTTTGGAAGATACTGACTTGAATTAACTTAGTGGGACAGCTGAATCAGTATTTGAGCCTCAGACAAAGTTTAGAGTGCATTTTTACACAGAATGAGCGGTGTGTGTTTTGCCCCTCATTTTTTACTGCATAGTCACATTCCATGTGGAAACCTTCAGAGTCGGTGTGGAAAATATGAAAAACCACAGCAATTAAGACTTACTCTCACATACATATGGGCAAGTCAGTATTGTTTTAATACCAACATGAAAAATCCTGAATTCATCCTGTCCACATTTACAGTTTCATTATTGATATGAAACATTCACAGAAGCTCAAACTCCCATTCTAGTTCATTTGTTAAAATAATGTATCATACTGCATACAACTGGTAGGTGTAGTGTAGTTTTATTTTGTAAAAAAATAAAGTGTGCTGCCTAATGATTACAGATCATGATGAAATCACATGCAAAATTGCAATAACTCTATACCTTGTCCTGTTCAGTATATAAGAACCAAAAAATCCTGCATAGTGTTAATCAGTTGTTCTCTTGACTCATACAGAGTACAAATAATTGACAATGTGTATTTTTTCTCAGTCAGAGCTTCTGGCTTTCTGGAGTGCACACATTTTGTAATAAATGTTTATTTTAAACCAAAGTACCACTTGTGTAACAGTACAGTTTCTCTTCAGGATATCAACCATCATCATAGATTGACTGACTGTAAATAGGCTGTTTTGAAGGATGCTACAGCATGTTAAACTGAATACTCAGCTTTACACCCTGTAGAGGTCAACTGCAACACTATGAAAGTAAATGTTGATATATTGCAATGAAATTATAGCAGCAATAAGTTTTGTGAAGGGTTTTCACTCTAATTTACTGCAGGTGCCACAGCTTGCACTGTGGAGCACTTTAGCCATTTTCTCCATAGCAGAGCACTGGGCTGTTTTCAGCTGCCCACTCGAGTGCCAGCAGAAAGCAAGCAGCAGCAGCTGCTAGCTGGCCGACAGCTTGTTAAAAGTTGTTCTAGTGTGATGGAGGGTTTACACTGAGAAGAGTAGTGCCTGTACTTTAAACCTGCAGCCTGAAGAGCAAGTGTGAAAAATCCTATCACCAAATAAATGTTACATAAAGGCACAGTTTTTTATTATTCTGATATATTCCTTGTAAATGTATTGATGGGATTACAGGATATGTCCTAGAGCTTGTCTACCTGCTTTTCTAAATACTTGAACAGTTATCTTAATGCAAGGCTCTCTTATTAGTTCAGTTTAAAAAATCACTTTTTTTTTTATAGCTTACAATGCATATTAATCAACACTGATATCTTACAAAACAGAACTGTTAATGTGGTGGAGTTATTTCAACGATTAATTGGCAAAAATCTCCAGACAAAACTCACAAAAGATATTACAGCAGTATACAGTCAGTTTCCAAAGATGTGTAATCTAATTTCCAGTGATGTTACCATCCATTTCATCCCTGAATAGCAGAGTCTTAAGTGAGGTAGACGGCCCACAAGTCCTTCTGACTGACCCTGTGTGTTGCACTGTTCTGTGATGGCAGACCACTTACTGACAAAAGTCTTTGGAAGCAACTACTGAAGTCTGAGCTCTTATCGAGCAGCCATCTGACAGAACTGAGACACATATTGCACCTCAGAAATCCAGAGAGCTGAAACATTATTCTTTCTCAGGCCTAGGGTTTGTCTGGACAGGAAAACAATCAATGCATCGTGATACTGTAAAAAATGACGTTTGTTTCTGCATTCATTGATGATACACAGGTGTAAGTAAACAGGTAAAAAAAAGAAAATATGTCGGACATTCTCAGGTTTCCACTTGTTGCTTGATTGTATATGTAAAGATAAACTTGTTTTCTCTGTTTCATATCATTGTACAGTAACTTGGCTATGTGAAATATTTTGATGACTGTTAGATGGACAAAAAAGGGATTTGAAGCCCTGAAATTGATTTCTGGGTAGACATTGTTTATCTTGTATTACTAAATTGGTTTCCCAGTTACAATGTGATGGAAAATGTAATAAAATTTAGGGGAATATTGTGGTTTTGGGTCAGTGTTACTGAAGACGGTGTAGCTCATGCTTCAAGTCACTGTGGACTTTCTTTATATTAAACCAGACTCTGATCTTTTCTTAACTTTAAACAGTGATTTTGGTGCCTAAACATTACCATTTAATGATCATGCTGTCTTGATCAAATGTTATGTTGTCAGATTGGTTATTTTGGTGAAAAACAAACAAAGCAGGCTGTCAATGACCCTTTTACTGATGATGTTCATTATCAACATTTTGTGATTAGCTGGATACATTAATATTTTATTATTGCCTTTGTAGAAAATGTAATGTTGTTAGCCCTAAGTTTTCTTACAACAATTTTGGCTCTTGTTCAGAATTTCCACATAAAATGTCATTTTTATGAAACGGCGTTCTTTTTTCTTATAATCGAGTAAAACTGATCTTGTTTTACACAGTTTCTTTTGTAAAACTTGCATATAAATGCAGATTTATTGCAAGAAAAAAAATACCGTTTGTGAACTGTATGCATTGGGCTTCTCTGGGTCAAAGTCAAGGTGGCTCTTATGCCCTTATATGTCCCTGGCTTTTAGAATGTGCAATGGGTATTTTCAGTAGTTTCTGACATTTTGTACATTTAGGCACATGTTTGTTGTGGTCAAGGTTACCAGGTGTGAACACCTGGTTGTGTCAGAGTCATTTTTCTTTCACCATCTTCAGCAGCATTATCCACCACTACACTTTCAGTCAAATAATTGTGGTGATGGACTGTAGCTTTGAAGTCCATGTTTCTGGTCAGAGTGAACATATTTCTGTTCCACTTTCATCTTTCCTCCTTTCTTTTTTTTTTTTAACAAATGATGGTTTCTGTTTGGCGAAGAGGGGCTGGGGAGCATTCAGCCATGTGGAAAATGAAACATCCAACACCACAAGGACTTAATTGATGCCATTATCATATGAACAGCAGGAAAAACAAAGAATTCACTTAGACTTTGGGTGACATTTTCACACTGACAGCAGAGTTCGCGCTTAGCCACAGTTTGATTTATGCTGTCAGTGTGCCATATCGCTCTGCCATTACATGTATTAACGACTGGCTGCTCTCACAAAGAAATGTGTTGCTTTGTGTACTGCAGGAATCAGCTTTTATTATCTGATAAGCAGAGAAAGGCTGGAACAAGATACTTATCTACAGACTGCGCACATCTGTCTTGTAGCACTGTGATGTGTGCCACATAGCACATTCTTTCCAGCTAATGAATGTCTGATTTGAGCCCTGTAATGCGATGTCAAAGATTTGAAATTTGTACATGCCGGGAGTGAGCACTCTGGTCAAAAGATGTAAATAAATCCAAGCAGCGAGGATCCTTTATGAACTCTCTGTTTGCTAGAGTGAAAAATCAAGCTCCATAATGGCGGTGCACATAAAATTGCAGTTTGAATCACACTAATGAATGACAGCAATGCTGCTGTGCTCTCGGTGGAGTCATGCTGCTCTGATGCCCTCCTGTGGAGGCCTCAACAACATACCACACATTTTAAATGAAATGTCTTGCATGTCTTACACTGCTTTTTTTAAACACATAGTCCCATAGCCATAGTAACACAAGTCACAATGATTCGTAATTCCAAATCACCTTTGTGGCCTTTTTATTTCTCCAGATATGAATCATCTCAAGAGCCCTGAGTGGCTGGACAGCAGCCCTCCACCCAAACGTCAGGAGGAACAGGAGGAGGAGGAAGAAGAAGAGGAGGAAGATGAAGAGGAGAGGAGGGTGGGGGCAGGATACCGGGCTAAACGAGAGCGCCGTCAAATGAATGGCAGTGCCACTATGTGCCAGGTGTGCAACATACAGCTAAACTCTAGTGCCCAGGCCCAGATCCACTACAGGGGGAAGACACATCAAAGGAGGCTGCGCCGACTTGCTAAGGCCATCAGCACAGGTAGGGACACGCCTGTGAATGTGCATGTGAAATTGTATGTTTTAACCCCATACCGTTGTTTCATAACACCATATTAATAAAGTACTTCCTGAATCCTCATAGACTCTTCTAAAGATATGGAATCAAAGATAATCTGGTCCAGTTCAGGAGAATATAAATTTTATCAGTTTCTCTTCAGCTAAGCAAAGATGGTGACAGGAAATGATGTCACTTTTTTGTGAAAGTTGAGCATGAATGTATTATTGAAACATATTATTCCTTTTGTACTATTGAAAATTAAATGAAATTATTATTGAAATTGTTTAAATAATATATTCATAATATATCTAAGCCAGAGTGACAACGTCACCTTCTGTTGCCATCTTATTTATATGAGAAGAATAGGCATAGCCTAGAAACTGAATGATAATTAAAATGATAATTTTCCTGGACAGGACCTGATTATTTTTCATTCTGCACTGGTAGAAGAGACTAGGAGGATTTGGGAAATAGCTTCAGAATTTGGGTGACTGTTATGAAATTACGGTACAGGGTTAAAATGGTAAGTCTCAGTTTCACATGTTCGCAGAAGATTATCTCTGTGAGTCGAGTGTATGTAATACACAAGAGTCACAAGCTGGGGCTATGTTCACTTATGATTTCTACTTTATATACAGCATAGTACTGTTTATTTAATGTATAGTGTGTGTGTGTGTGTGTGTGTAATGTTACATATATTGTACATATGATATTATATATCACTATACACAGACACTTTTTATTATGTGTGTGGGAATTTTTCTTTCTTAATAGAAAACTTGACAGATAAAACTTAAAACTGGTCTGCAGTAGATATAAGTTTAGTCAAGCTTGTAATGGTTTTTGCTGAGATTGTCAGAAATGTTTCTTCAACTCTACAGTGTTCTGACAAAGGAAACCCAGCTCAGTGTCCCTTTATGACCTTTAGTCTCTGTCGTCGAAGAATCTGTAACTCCATGGTAATGTTTGAGGTATTGTTTATGTTGTTTAACTCTGTGCTGCAAAAGCAATTCATATTAAGATGAATGACAAATAAGAACATACAGTATGTGAGAATCAGCAGATAATCACAATTTTATATTATTAATTTTATATGCCAGCATTTAAGGCAGACCATGACAGAATACTGGGATGCAGTGAGGCCAGGTAGGACCTGCATAAATGGACCTTTCCCTCAGCAGATATTTTGACTTGTCATAACAGGGATACCACATGTATAAGTAATGAAGTCAATTATAACTCCGCTGCATCCATCCCGGTATACCAGTGAGACATCATGCACCGGATGCTTTGAACTGGAGCAGAGCCTTTATTTATTTTTTCATTTCATCTGTTTTTCATCCAATGACAAGTTAAAATGTCTGCTATGAAAAAGGTCTGTTGCTGGTGCATTAATATAAAATCGTGACAATGTACCACTTATTACAAGAAAGGAGCAACACCCTCACCAGTATTGATGGAAAGAGTCATAACTTTGTTTGCTTCACAACAAACTGCCTAAAATGACCACAGTGTAATGAACCCCTGTTTCTCTTGGAACAAAAAGAACATTATGAACTTCTTCAAATTGATATTTACTCCAGCACTGTTGTGTTGTCAGAGGTTCTGCTATTTTGTCATCAGCAGTGTTTTAATCATTTTTTCCTTCATCGAGGGTCTGTTCACAGGTGGCAGAAACAGATGCTTAGTTGTCTTGTTTATGACTCTTATGTCTCTTGGTGCAGGAGCTCAAAGTGTGACGTGTGCTTACTGTATGTGCTGTTAAAATTAGCCATCCATTAGATCCTTTCGGACTTCAGGTTTCATTACAAGAAAGTTAGCCCAGTACCCGCTGACAATGTGAGGTTTGACAGATGCCACAGTGCAGATACATAAAAAAGCAAAAATAGGAGGTTTGGAGCTGCCTCAAGCTGTCAGAGAAGGTTTTTTTTTCCAAATATAGATTTTCTATTAGAAATTGTACAGAGGTGTTTTAACCAAAAAAAAAAAGGTTAACGGTAGTCTCAGCCATCATTCCACAGATTTGGAAACTGTACTCTGATATGTATATGTCTTTGTTTAGTCAAATATTTTGACTTTATTGTGAAGTTGTAAATATTCACATCTGCAAACCATGAGGGGGTGTAATGGATTCAGTATATGTTTACTGTTCCAGAAGAGCCCCTCGCCATTTACAACTATTTTCTGCACACCTGTTTGACAAGGGGCCATTAATCACTTTCAGTCACCACCACCTGTGTCAGTCTGCCTGGCTGACCAGTTTGATCAATCAACGCTCAGAAAATAAAGCCTCCAAAGAGCAAGTGGCCAATAAGATGGAACTTTTTAATGTTGATTTATGAGACTCTCTGTCTGTAGGCTTACCACACATATTTAGCTGTTTCAATCTAACAAGGCAGGAATTAAATTAATACTGTATCCATTCATTGTTTATTTTCTTCCTTATTGTAAACTCATTGTGTTAGCATCAGAATGTTATCGACTTTTTCTAGGTCAGATAATAGCCTTTGCAAATCATCATTCATACTTTAAAGTGTGAGACTGATCCAAAACAAAAGTAGGGAACTGGTGTGTGTTTGTGTGCGCATGCATATGGTGCCTATTTTCAGGCTCTCCAGTATCTAGCTACTTGATGCGTTTTTAATTTTCGGATATAGCAAATTTAAAATGGACTGAGATCAGACATGTACAACAGCATCAGCACTGACAGAGTTTAACCAGGAGACCTGCTGCAGGTCACACTGCCGGAGTCATCTCTTCCACTAACTGATGGCTAAGATGAGACTCACTTGTGGGCAGCTTGTGTCAGGGCCTCAGGGTGAAGAGCCTCTTCTTTTCCCACACGGGACACATGGTGATTTCACACCTGCTGTGTTTGACGCCCTTTGTACAAGTTGTTGTGAAGCTGAAAACACCACAGTCAAATTGAGGAGTACAGCAAAACAATCGCTTGGATGAAAATTGTCTATGAAATCGTTTATTTGGTGCAAAAATTCAGTGGTTTTGTTAAGTTTGATGAACAGTCAACAATTCAAAAATATTAAGTTTATAATGACATGAGACAAAAAAGCTGCAAGTCTTCAGATATGTCAAGCTGGAATTAGAATTATGTCTTTTTTCTTGAAATATAATTAAATAAATGGCAAATAATTATCAAAATAGTTGATTAATAGTCAATTATGCAATTGATTAACCATCTCGGGTCTGGTTAGAATAACTGAATATCAGAATAACTGGTTTTCCTTTTGCTTCTTGAAAATATCTTTAAAAAAGTTTCACAATTTAAAGTTTACATTAATAAGTATACAATATAATGGATACCTGAAATAATTTCTAATATTTCTGCAGTACAGTATAACTAGTGAAAATGCACGTGTATAGATTTTGTTTATCTGGTGCCCTATAATCAATGAACCCGTAAAACCTACCATAACTAATTCAAAGCCACAATACAGTATGTAAGTAAATTCTAATATGAAATAAGGATTTGATTTTCACATAGTGCTCTAAGCATCCCTTAATCTGGTGACTAATATACAAGATCATGCTGTAAAAACAGCTGGATTCAACAGGCAGAAATGACTGCAAAACAGATCTTTTGTTAAACTTGGTAAACAAATAGGAGAGAAGATTCAAATGCCAGGTCTGATATAAACATGGTTTTCTCAGGAAGTCATTCTCCCCATTGCCTATTTCACAGTAGAGAGCAGAAAATGAGGATGAGCAGTCAATTAAGGTGACTGTTAGTACTATTCAGACAGTGCTGCGATGAAACTAGCCTTATAATGCCCATTGCCTTCCCACAGCTGAACTAGCATTCCCTTTATTTAGCCTCATGAAGTGATTGCTGAAATGAAAAGAGATTTTAATAGGGTAATTCTCACTGGGGCCCTTTTGAAAAGGGAATGGAGCAAAGCACTTTCCACTTCCTACACACCGCACTAAGCATCTGGATCACTGTGGAGTCATTTCAGTTTAGAGGGTTTGGGTTTCTAATTGTCAGTATGATGTGTTTTTGTGTCACATGTACAATCTCACATGAGGTGCCATTTCTGCTATGTGTATACTGCACACACTAGAGGAAAAGGAGGAGGATGTTGAAAGGTGCTGCTCACATAGTGGGCCCAGATGTGTATGGCATTTAGCTACAGTACATTTGCACAGCTCTCCTTTGCTGTCATAACATTTTTACCTCACTGCTGTTCGCTTTCTTTCTGCTCCCTCTCACACTCCAGATGCCAAATATCACGCAAGCATGTGACTGTTTCCCTAAATGTGCTGTCATGTCTGAATAAAACTCTGAGGAACATTACTATGAAAGAGACCTCTGTCGAAATGACAAAAAGCCATCACTTTAATAGGCAGCAGCAGCAGCCAGCAGTGTTACATTTTCTACAGTATGTCTGAAAAGAGATACTAAGTTACTAAATTCAGTTAGGATTGCACCCAGGTGATGCATGAGAAGAAAACTTGGCCAGCAAGCAGTGCATTTTGTGGTGTTTTTGGCTTGGACTCATCACAAAAGGCAATGTTTACAGGTGAGAAATCTGTCTGTTCAGATTGTCTGACCTTGTTGCAAAGCTGGTTTCCATGGGTTCAGTTTGTAGCAACAAGAACTAGGTACAATGGCCATTCTCAATTCAAGGAATGGAATTTTTTTCAATATTGTCTATTGATTTCACTATTGTTTAAAGGTTTGTTGTTCATTTTCATCAGTTAAAGCTACAGTATGGAACTGTTACCAAATATTCTTGTTATAGAAATCTGCTCCAAAACCTGTCATAATGTAAAGGTCCTGTCAACGCCTCCTGTGACCTAGACTCATTGAGCAGCACTAGCAGCAGTGCAGAGATGTTGGCTTCTAAAAGGTTTTGAATGGGACTGACTTCTCTAACCAATCAGATTTTCAATTATTTCTGCTTGATCAGTAAGTTTTGTTGCATTCTCATTTCTTATTTATTTATTTAAAGCAAGGCTATTCA